ATTTTTATTTTTTGATAAAGTCATGTTTGGTATCAATTGAAATCTAAATCAAAGTTAATAATTAATTTTAATAACATATTTCATGAAATCCATAACCGTTTTAACTTTTATCAAAATTTACTAAAAATTTGATTTTAATCTCCACCAAATAGGAGCAAAATCACAATAAATTTGATTTTTTCTCTTTTCTTTTGCTCTTTTTTACTCTTTTTCTCACACCTTTTAATAAAATCTTAACCCTTCTAATTTTTTAAAATTTGTATATAATTTCGCTACAAATTATCACATTTACTACAAATTTTCACTTTCCAATCAAATTTTTAAGTAATTAGAACCTAAATTTGCATTTTCTCCCATCAAATTGTGCATATAGAATGTGTCTGAACTTATTACATCCAATTTGACTTATATTTAACGAATTGTGTTTATTTGATTGATTATTAGTATTATATATTAGTTATATGTTTTTCCCTTCAATTACTTGAATTGATTGTTGGTATCAAGTACATTATAAGGTTTTAAAACTTAAATATGCATTTTCTTGTGATGAACAAAGTATTAATAAAATGAATCTTCGAAATCAATGGATGAAAATGATTAGCAAAATATTAATGAAAAAATATTTTTTAAATGTAAATCTGCAGTGTCTCAACTCAAGTATGAAACTATGAATCATTCAAAAATCTAGAACAAAGTATTCGATTTGTGCAGGGTTTGATTGTAGCCCCCTAACTCAAAATGTCTCCCCCTCCCTAAACGTCTTATAACGTATTTTAACTACCCAAGTTGTAGAGACACTCACGAAATGAAAATGTCTCTTCAATATTGGTTAAAAATTAAGTAGCCAAAAATCCCATTTCTATGTCGAATTCACACATATCATTGATGTTGGTAGGGGATTAAGGTAAAAGAAAGTAAAAGGACAAAAGAATCTGAATAGATTTTTTGTTAAATGTTGTTATGCCAGAAAGAATCTAGAAGCCATGTTTTATGTTACTTTGGAAATGATATAATACAACAGTGGGTACTGAAATTGTAATTTGACGTACTTGCAAATTTGGTCCATGTTTCCTTGGAGATGAAACTTGACTGAGGTTGTAGACTACCCTAGTACCCTTTCATGGACACAAGAAAAAGATGAGTAGTTATTGTGTAAGAGCGTCTCTATTTTTAAACAGCATATTCTACTATTTAGAGAGAATCTATCAAGTTAGAAAGTAAAATTTTTTAAGTACTCTAATAGGCTTTTTATATTTCACACTTAATTTTATGACTCTAAATTTTTTCTATCTTTTATTTTCACTAGCTTCCCTTCAAACTATTATATTTTTTTTTCTTCAATTGAAAATTGAAAAAATGCTTTGAATACTTTTAATTATAGATAGTGGATTTGGAGAGCCAAACTCACTTTCTAAATTAAAATGTTAATTTAGCCTCTGTTTGGCCCTCATTATTCCCTATTAAATTTTAATTCATTTTTCTTTCTTCTTATCAACCACACATTCTCTAATAAAATAATATTAAACGTAAATCTAACGATTTTTCCTTCTTTTTTAACCACACATTCTCTAAAAAATTACTATTCCTCTCATTATAATGTGGAATAATGGGGGCCAAACGGGCACTTAAAGAGTCTTTGGAGCATAAGCATCTTATATTTAAAGATTTTCTTGGAGATGTTCTAAATGATATACAGGTTAGTTTACATAATTTTGGTTGTTTTGATACTTCTGTCTTTATTCATTTATTCTTCTCGATGTTCCTGGAAAAGGAACTGAGCAATGCTTCTGTGAGAGTTATGGGGGCTTCATGGTAGAGTTTTGTGTCTGACTTTAGTTCTTGTAAATTTTCTTGAAAATTATCTTTCTAGAGTTATGCTCTTCATATTCATGTCCTTCAACATGCAATCTCAATGAACTTTTAATGGGAAATTATTGGTATAATGTAAATGTTGTAATTTCGATACTGCAGGGGATATAAGCGGTTTTTTAAAAGGTCTACTCTGGAAGGATCACACTACCTGAAGGATGATTGCCTTCAAGTACATTGTTGTGTTGGCGTTGTTAGGTCTAACACCGAGGGACCTAAGATCTATTCCATACCAGTGCCACCATCTGACATTGGTCAGCATTTCGGACAGCTGCTGGAAAGCGGAAAGGGTACTGATGTAAATTTTGAAGTTGATGGTGAATTTTTTTCGGCTCACAAGTTGGTACTTGCTGCTCGTTCACCAGTATTTAGAGCTCAATTATATGGTCCCATGAAGGATCGAAATATGCAGTGTATAAAAGTAGAAGACATGGAGGCACCTGTTTTTAAGGTCTGGTGCAACTCCTTTCTCTCTGTAATAACAGTTGATAAGTTATTTTTATTCTATTGCTGGAATTTTTTGAATGCTTGTTAAATGGTTTATTCTTAATATGAAGTATTCAGCCTTAGGGCGAACTGACGTTTTCTGCACTTGTATCATTCATGCTGTCTGTCATTTGCCTTATATGTATTTGAGGGTAGCCAAAGCTGGTAAATATTGTTCACAGAAATATGTCCAAAAGAGTAGTATTGTACTTGAGAAGTTCAATAATTTCTTGCATTGAATTTGTTATTGTTAGGATATAGCGATTTGCCTAGGGTTCAAAAGTCTCTAGCTGTGTGGCTTGCTTTTTCGAACCAAAACGGAGTAAGAAAGAAGGTTATCATGTCAGAGGTATTTGATCTGTTGTGTTGCAATAAACCAACTTAACTGAGGAAATGGCTTATTTTTCTATTGAAAAAGTGATGGAGACAAGCCGTCTTTCTGTAATAATGTAAAAATGGGAAACTAGGTGGGTTTATATCTGGCTTGATAGCTTGGACTTGGTTTGTTTCAGAGGGGACCCTGTTGTTAGGTGTTACACCATCGGGTTTGGACAGTGTATGTTTGGCAAAGCTTTTAAATGCTTTTAAGTTTGTCAAACAACATTTAACCACACATTCCTTAAGATCCACAACTTTTGTTCTACTTTTTACCACCCATTTCTTGGAACCTACTTCTATAAGCACTTAAAAGCTTAGCCAAACAAGCACTAGGATGATGATATTTTACCGACTTGAGGCTCCACTTATTATTTGAAGATTAGCTGATATTGTTTGGGTCTGGTATCTTCCTGGAAATTTGGGTTTATTTGATTAAGCTACTGAATATTCTATATTGGGCATCAGTAAATATCAATGAAATGTCTCAATACCTATAACAATTGCATCACTTCCTGCAGAATTTTGGTATCACGTGGGTAATGACCAGTAAAATGAAACTTAAGCTTTGACGCTTGAAAATTGTTCAGGTAATTTTTATGTGTTTCAAGTGAGTTAAACAGCACAAACTGAGCATTGTATCTGCTGCTACTTCTTTGCCATCAACAACGTGCCTAGTTTATGCAGTTATTCAGTTTTACATATGTGGCATTTGGTTTTAGTTTATCAATCATGTCTCTTTTGTGCATGTATCCAATTTCTAGTGTGACAGTCATGGCCGGGGGAGAGCGTCTAGCAGCTCATCTTGTCTTCTTTTCAATTGCATAATTAAACAAGAGATACTTTGTGCAATTTATCGACTTTTAGCAATACTTGAAATGTCAGATTGGGAGATGACCTGTTTGATTCAATCTGTTTTGAACTGTTTGTCGATGAAGAAATTTTTCCGCTAGTTGACTTTGATATGTTGATTCATTCCTTCTGTCACGCTTGTCTTGTAGGCCCTACTTCATTTTATATACTGGGATGTGTTACCTGACATGGAAGAACTTACTGGTATGAACTCGAAATGGGCTTCAACCTTGATGGCTCAGCATCTGCTTGCAGCTGCTGATCGGTATGGTTTAGATAGGCTCCAGTTGCTTTGTGAGGGTAATCTCTGTGAGGATGTTGCTATAAATACTGTTGCAAATACGCTGGCATTGGCAGATCAGCATCACTGTTTCCAGCTGAAATCTGTGTGTCTCAAATTTGTTGCATTGCCTGAAAATCTTAGAGGTAAATCTTTTGTCTACATTTCAATTTCCTTCCAACCTTGTTATACGACTCACATGCTTTATCAAGTAACTGGACTATGTGAAGCAATACTTTTGACGAGTCAGAGTTCCTTCCAATTAATTAGTTTCACATGTTTCCTTTAATCAAAGTCTTTCTTTATTTAGTTACCTTTTTCAGACATTTAAGTAAAAAAAAATTCACCTACTCTATCCCACACCCAAGAACCATGGCCATTGCCATATTGCTGTTGGCACTTGATACCACCATCTCACCTCCAGTTATATTAAAATCACAATCTTATAGGAACTAATGATATAAATCTAGACAATGGATTTATATAACCTTATTTAGGAGTTGGGATCACTAGGAGGTCCATATGATCGGACGTATGATCATAGCGCTTTCTATGATTTTTTTTGCTTTTATACCTTGAGGCTGAATTTTAAAGAATTGCTAGTTGCTACTCAGATAGTGGGATTGGGAGATGGGATCCTACAATCAAGGTAGGATCAGCAGATTTTATAGTTTTTCTATGATGTGCTTCTGAGACAAAGACAGCAATGTACCTTTAGATCTTTTTAGTAGTTGTTTTGGTCTACTAATGTTTTTAAGAAAATGCAGCATCTGAGTGCCTTTTTTGTTGCCCAAATCAAAAGGTAGGAGAAGGTTTCCCCAATTTAAAATCATGCAACATTGTAAAGAGTTTCTCCAAGCTAAGAGCCTAGTTTTCTATTTATATATTTGCTACCAATTGCTTCTTCTATTTTTGCTATGGATTGTTGTTGGTTGCAGATATTATGTGACACTGTTTTAATGTTTGGTCCTCTTGCTATTAAATGCAGAAAATACACCCACAGTTCCCATTCTTTGTGAGTTTGGCACTTGGATCATTATAAGTTACTTGGTATTTGGGTCCCGTATTCAGAATTTCATAGCTATTTCTAACATTGTCAGTCCAAAAAGAGGCATTAAATCCTAGCAGGGCTAGCACATGAGGTGGTTTTCAATGCTATTTATGGGGAGACTTGCCATAACATGGACATGCATTTTAGGCAGAACAATAACAAATATAGAATTTATTCATATCCAAGTTACTTCTGTTAGATTAGGTAATTCTCCATCCTGTTAGTTTGGTAGGTTTTGTTGTTTGCTAGAGACTGAGAGTATAAGAGAACAATAAATTGTATCTCTATGGCACTTTTGATGATGAACACCGTGAAAAATAGTGTTGAGAAATGAACCATGTTCTGATAACAATTGATACACAGCACATTATATGGAAACTGAAGAAGAAAGGTGAGAAGCAAGGTAAGAATTAGAAGAATAAGAGGGAGAGATAAAATTCCAATATATCTCAATATTCGATTATATGTAGTTTGTCTATAATGCAACTAAAATGTCTAGTGAACAAGGAAAGCTACCAAACCAACAAGATGTGGGAAGAACTAGTAACTATAGAATGAGAATGAAGAAAAATCAAATTCTAATTTATTTCGTATTCTTTTGCCTGAAATGCAATGTCTAGTTTATGGTTAGTCTTCTAAGAATATCCCCAAGGATCTCCATCACGGTCCATAATTCCTTTTCTATAGTGATGGTCGTCGTGTTTTTGTTGAATTTTTTGAAGGGGTGGAAGTGTTGTTACCATGGATGTTAAACCCCTAATATGGATCTTCTATCATACGATTTGACGATCCCAAAATGATAAAATAATTTGTTATCGTTGTAGGATCTTAAGATTGTAATCCTTTTGCAGGATCCTAACAATCCTCCATTTTTTTAACATTATGGATTTTTAAGAATATTATCGTTGTTATTAAGAATTTTATCTTCGTTTTTATTATTTTAAATAATTGATATTTAATAGAATCTTTACAATCTTCAACAAGTTCCTCAAGATCCCTTCACAGATCCAATTTAAAATATGGTGCATTAAAATTCTCCCTATACAGGAAGTCCTATGCTGCCGCCTATGAATAAATTTTTGTTAAAAACTCTAGTAATCGACAAAAAATTTGCATTTTGTTTTTTGAGAAAAAAGCGAGCGAGACAAATCAGTTTTCATTGTATTTAGTTTAAGTTTGTAATGTCTTGCATGAATAGTTACTGACGCTTTTTTAATGACAGCTGTTATGCAGACGGATGGTTTTGAGTATTTGAAGGAAAGCTGTCCTCGTGTCCTAACCGAATTGTTAGAGTACGTTGCCAGGATAAGTGAACACTCCATTGCCATTGGCAAGCATGGTAATGAAGGTATCATGGATGGTTGTGATGTGAATGGTCGACGAGTGAAGCAAAGACTATAGGAGGAGGAGTTGCCATTGAGAAAGAGAATAGCTTAGATCCTTCTTTAGGGTTATTAAGAAACATTTTAAGAGCTGCAGCTTCCAGTATTATGCCGATGTAAATTCAATGTTTCTGTCTTATGTATTGTTCGATTGTGTAGTATAATTTGTGTATGGTTTTGTTTCGAGGGATTTAAGAATATACGGCTCCCTCTAATTGAACAAAATGACTATGAACCTCTTGCCATTCTGATTTCTAGTTGAACTGATTTTGTTGATTGGATTTGCCGAAATGGCAGAAGTTTTGTTGGGGAAGGTAACACCAATTAGATCCACGCATTTACTTTGTCAAGGTATATGACACGTCGAAGTTTCATAGAGCTTCTGAACATGTGCATGTGCAAGAAAAAAAAATTAGTGTTGGAACATCTCAAGACTCTTTTGAAGTCTAAATACAAAATTCTCTCTATTTCTAAGATTTAGTGCTTAAAAATAAGAATAATGTTACTTATACATATAGACGATGTGTTAAAAAGAGAGTGGATAATTTTTTTTTTTTGATTGAATTTTTTTGATACAATTATCTCTCTCAACAGAATGTGTATGTAAACTATTATGTACATATATAACAATTGTAAAAATAATAGTATTTCCAAGAGAGTTAAACCCTCTCTCTATTCTGAATGTATAATGATTGCATTTAATGAATTACAAATTTCAATATTCTACTTCTTAAACTATACAAACCATATTTAAATTGATTGATCATTGACATGTAAAATTTTTTATGTTAAATAAAATAAAGAGAAATCAATAAATATTTCTTGAGAAAAACAAAATAGAGGATATTGGTGGATGGTATAAATTTTGACTCTTTAAATTTAAATATGCTACATAAGATGCTATCTGACTTGATTGATCATTGGCATATAAAAATTTATGTTAAATAAAAGATGATGAAATATCAGTAAATGTTCATTGAAAAAAAATAAAGAATCAAAATAGTGAACATTGTTGGAGTGCATAAAAAAATTACTCTCTAACATGCTCTTTATAAATAAAAAGTGTTTTGAAAATGCTATTAGGAGGTATATTAAATTGAGACTTTTAAAGATTTTGAAGGATTTTAAAATTTTCGTAGTATTTAATATTTTGGAACTTTTATAGACTTAAAAAATCTTTAACAATTTTGATGTATTCAATAAAGTATTTTAGTCTTAAAAATAAGAATAATGTTACTTGTACATATAGACGATGTGTCATAAAGTGAGTGGAAGAAATTTTTTTTTTTTTTTGATACAATTCTCTCTCTACAAAATGTGTATGTAAACTATTATGTACATATATAACAATTGTAAAAATAATAGTATTTCCAAGAGAGTTTAAACCCTCTCTCTATTCTGAATGTATAATGATTGCATTTAATAAATTACAAATTTCAATATTCTACTTCTTAAACTATACAAACCATATTTAAATTGATTGATCATTGACATGTAAAAAATTATGTTAAATAAAATAAAGAGAAATCAATAAATATTTCTTGATAAAAACAAAATAAAGAGTCAAAATAGAGGATATTGGTGGATGGTATAAATTTTGACTCTTTAAATTTAAATATGCTACATAAGATGCTATCTGACTTGATTGATCATTGACATATAAAAATTTATGTTAAATAAAAGATGATGAAATATCAGTAAATGTTCATTGAAAAAAATATAAAGAATCAAAATAGTGAACATTGTTGGAGTGCATAAAAAAATTACTCTCTAACCTGCTCTTTATAAATAAAAAGTGTTTTGAAAATGCTATTAGGAGGTATATTAAATTGAGACTTTTAAAGATTTTGAAGGATTTTAAGATTTTTGGAGTATTTAATATTCTTTTGGAACTTTTATATACTTTTAAAAAATCTTTAACAATTTTGATGTATTCAATAAAGTATTTTAGGTTTCTATAAGTTACATGGTATTCAAAATATTAATGACTTTAAAAAAATTTACAAGTCTTCAAGGTACTAACTTTTAAGCAGCAAGTACAAAAATAAATTTCAAAATTTAAAAATTATTATTTTTCTTTCATCGTTATATAATTTTCAACGAAAGAATATGAAACTATAGTTAGAAAATTCCTATAACATTTTTTTTTCATTTTTAAGTCCGAATCTTTTATGTAAAAGATCAAATTGTAATTAGAGATTAATATATATATATATATATATTAATTATTTATTTATCTAATTTAGTTTTTTATTCTCTTAAAAAATGTTTTTACTACACGGGGGAAAGAAAAAGAGGGAAGAGATTAATCCTCCGTCTTTGTGTAGAAACTTTCAAGATTTCACTATTGTACTAGATATAAGTGAATTCCATTTTAATTGAAAATCTTCAAAAGTCATACGAGTTTCTATAAAAATCTTTAAAAATTTTAAAACAAGAATCTATAAAAATCTAAGAGAAAACTCTATTATTTTCATACAAATTTATGAAAGTAAATAAATTTCACAAAAATTCATCACTAAGTTTTTTTTATAAAATCTTCTTTGTGAATACTCTCTTAAAATTAGGGCTTTTTTCTAGTATATATATCAACTACTTCAAGGCTCAATTGTCCCCCGCGGAACTTGAATTTTAGCATACAGCGATCGAGAAAATCAGCAATTTTCTCACTCAAAATGGTAAAATTTCATAAATTGCTATTTTTGGTTCTTTTGCAAAATTTCCTACTTTATTGAATCTTCCAATTGCTTTTTGTTATTCATCTAGGGTTTGTTTTGATTTGATTGCAGCTGTTCTTCTCGTACTTCAAGGATTTGGTGGGTCGAGAAGTGACTGTGGAATTGAAGAACGATTTGGCGTTAAGAGGCACTTTACACTCTGTGGATCAGTACCTCAACATTAAGCTCGAAAACACTCGGGTTGTTGATCAAGACAAGTACCCCCACATGGTATTCCCCTTTTCTTCCACGTTTTAGGGTTTTGGATTTTTTTATCAAGGAAATTGATTAATAAGTTCCAAAGCATCCAGGGAAACCGAAAACATAAAATGTTCTTACGATAAGCTTTCTTTCTTTACTCAATTATTTATACATGTTTATTTTGTTGAATGACTGCATTATCTGGGCACTAAATGCCATTTAGTTTATGATTTTTATTGATTAGAAGTTGAGTTTTATTTTTATACTGTATTGCATTTTTAAGATGTATGGTCCTGGGATTTGCTATTGTTTGTATCCTACCTGATGAAATATGAAGGATTATGTAAACTTAAGGTAGCGATTTGGATGTCAAAGTTTATAGGAATATGCATGTTTACGAAATTCTATGTAATAGAAAGGTGTTGTGATGAATTCGAATATTTATGTATGATTTCCATTCTATTCGTGTCATTTTTATTTAAACCACCACCAAGATGGTAAATTTATTAACACTAAAGCATAATGTACATAAGCACCCACAATACGCTTTTTGATTATTGAATTAAATGGTAAGAGTATTGGAACCTCCACTCTTATTGCAAATGTGTGGTAACATGAAGAAGTCTCTCTTCACTTAAATGGTTGGATGATGAATAATTTTGAAATATGATTTTAGGTATTTATTTGGAGGACACACGACTACGAATTGTATAACACCTCTGATTCCTGGAAATAAAAATGTAACTTCAATTATGAGGATTACGAGTGGTAATAGAAGCGAGTTTCACATTTAAATTGAAGCATATGGAAGGAAAATATTTAGCTTTTGAATCCAATCGGTCATTTCATTTTGGAATTCTATTGTTTATTTGACTTCATATTTTTTTTCCAAACAGTGTAGTTTATTTAGCATTCCAAAGTTAATGCCACTGCACAATCCAACCTCACTCACATAACTAACAGAATAAGAAGAAATGAAAAAATGTTATATTTTTTCTATTTAATCCATTGGGAAAAAAATCTGATTATAACGTTAACTATAATCCAATCTACAGTGGATTGCCTTTAGTTCATCTTTTATGGACCATCAGTATTCTTTCTCTTGCTTCCCTTTCCCTTCCCTTGCAAATTGATTTCGGACTCTGGAGCATGTCATGTTTAGACCTGTACTGTGGATAATGCTTGAGGCATTATTGAATCAAGTATGTTATTTATCAGTAGTATTTGCAGCATGTGAGGGTGGGTGATTACCTAGTATGTTGTTTCCCATGCTTTTTGAGGTTTACATACTTAGTTTGTACTTTGCATCTTGTATTCATTGTTGCCTATTGAGCTAAGTACAATTTCCAAAACAGAGCCTCATATGTCTGCATTCTATTGATGGTATTAGTATATTTTAGTGAAACCAATATTCAGTATTTAATCGTCAATTGGACTTGTTGTTGCACTGTAGTACTTTTTTGTCTTTCATACAAGTTCATAAAAAAACTTGAAAATCCATGAATACACTGTTGCTTGAGCTTTCAATTTCTTTTTTTTGTCATTCTATTTTCGAGTGTCCCAATTTTTTTTAAAAATCTACATTGAAGTAAAGAGATGCTCCATACAGCTTGGGGTCAATTGTTTTTTTCAAAGGTTTGAAAATCGACTAGGCCATAGATCTGGAAAAGGCTAAAGGATCGAAAAGATTGAACTAGCTTTGAACTAGGGTTAAACTTCTAATAATTAATATATAAATATATAATATTTTTTTGACAAAATATGTTATTTTTTCAAAATGACTTATAAATAGAGATAAAAGCCACTTAGCCGCTGTTTGATTGTCATTATTCATGAAAAACAATGTTTTGAATAGTAATTTTTAGAAAATATGTAGTTAAAATGTAAGGAAAAGTTTTGAATTTACATGCATAAAATTTTATTGTGTGAGAGTGGTCGAAAATGAGTACGTAGAATATATATATATTTTTTTTCAAAAGATGACTTAATAAACTTGATTGCAATTAATTTTTATCATGCCCACTTCTAATATCAATAGAAAATGAGACAACAAATATGACAAAACTATTAATAGTTGAATTGATTAAGAGGGTGTTTGGTG